GCCGGGCACCCCCACCCGCTCCCTCACCCCAGGGTGGGGACCGATTGACGGCTCCCAGGCTCGCCGGGGGCAGGGGCGCTGGAGAGCCCCGAGTGGACCATGGCGGTGAGATTCCAGGCGAGTAGCCCGCCGAGGGCGGAGGGGGAGGGCATGGAGCCAAGGTGGGGCTGATCACCGGGACCCCTGGCCACCCTCTGCCTGTGTAACAGGTGGGGAAACTGAGGCCCAGAGGCCGGCAGTGGCCAGCCCGAGGCTGCACAGCGAGACGCGTGGCGCCCCTCGACCCTAAAAGCTGCCTCCATGACCCCGCAGACCTGGGTTCAAATCCCAGCCTTTCTGTGTAACTGGGGCCCTGAGCCAGCGCCTCTTCTACCTCGTCCTTTAAAGAAGGATGGAGAGCGGATTCCAAGAGGAAAGTGTCTTAGCTCCTGGCTGTAGTAGGTGCTCAGTAAGTGTTTACGGCGGTTCCCTGGGTGTTGGAGGAAGTGAATGGTGGGACTGGGCAGTGACCTCATGTGTGGGCTGGGTGGCTTTGGTGGATGCGGGGAGGCTGCTGGGAAGGGAACCACCACATATTGTGTTCCTACTGTATACAGCGCCCTTAACTTGTATGAACCCACAGAGATAAGGGTCAGGGGTCGAGAGCTCCCTTTACACTCAAGTCACTTGACTGGACTGGAGGCAGGGGGTCCCTGTGTCTCTATTTGGGGGGACTTCACCTTCCAGGATGGAGCTTGAATTGACTCACGTGCACAGTACTGGGTTTTAGCACACAGGCCAGGAGGGGTAAACTGAGGCCTCAGGAGGTACGTGGCTCTCCGAGGCCACACACTGCTCTGGGCTTTAGGGTGCGACAGTTCCCGGCAGTTCTGGTCCCCTACACCTTCCAGGCGGCAGGAACGGCTCCCAGAATCCCCTCACCCGCATTGTTCCTGGAGGTGGGGGCAGAAACGGGGAGAGACACCTGCAGCCTGGGAGCCACTGGCCTGGGGCTGTTCGCCTTGGTAGGACCTGTCCCTCTGGTTGTCTCTCCTCTCCGGTGTTTGCAGTGTTTGTGTCCAGAGCTGCATTTGGGCTGAGGGGGTGGGGTGGGGGATGGGATGGGAAAAGATCCAGGCCCACCCCCTCTGGAGCTCCCCTTGGTGTGTGTGTGGGGGGAGGGGGCAGGGTCCTGAGGGGCCTAGGTACGCTGGACCTATCTGGTTGGGTTTCTGGCTGAATCTGGCCATTATTCCACCTTTCACCCATTCCTCAAACTCCACGGTGCCTATCCAGTGGGGACAATGCTGGGATCCCGGGGCGCCCAGTCCTGCCCACCAGAAGCCCTCAGACTGGAGCAGTGTAGGGAAGACAGGTGGACGGGACGTCCCAAGTTTCAATCACCAGGGGTGTGTGTGTGTGTGTGTGTGTGTGTGTGTGTGTTGGGGGAGTGGTTGGGGCATTGAGGACTCATTTCCTGGAGGAAGAGACGGTAGCACTGGATAAATAGGAGTTTGCATCCTAGCCAGTTTGGCTCAGTGGATAGAGCATCAGCCTGCAGACTGAAGGGTCCAGGGTTCGATTCCAGTCAAGGGCACATGCCCGGGTTGTGGGCTCGATCACCAATGTGGGGTGTGCAGGAGGCAGCCAATCTATGATTCTCTCTCATCATTGATGTTTCTATCTCTCTCTCCCTCTTCCTTCCTCTCTGAAATCAATAAAAATATATTATTTTTTTTAAAAATGGGAGTTTGCTAGGAGTGCAGCATGGGAAGGAGGGCCCAGGAGGTGCTGAGTCACCAGAGTACCCAGAGAGACAGCCCAAGAGGAAAGAGCAGGCATTCCCAAACTGATGACCAAACAGGGTAGTTTAAGATGGTTTTGGATGCTGTGAATAAAACGTAACAAATAAAACAGAGAGGAGTGATAGGGTGCCAGGGAAGACAGGCTAACCAAGGGGGGCTCCCTGAGGAGGTGGCATTGGATCTGAGACCCAAGTGGCAGGAGCCAGTCTTGTGCCAATCCTGAGAGGGTGTCCCAGGCATAGACCTGCCTGGATGAGGCTGGAGGGGGTGTCTGCACCCAGAGCTGCCCTTTCAACCTTGGGGTGAGATGGGATTCTAACCAAGTGAGCTCCCCAGCCAGGGCAAAGGTTTGGAGGTGAACCAAGCTGAGATGGGCTAAGGGTTAGGCTTGACCCCCTGGAGGCCTCCAGTATCCATGCAGGTGAACCTACACAGGCAGAGACAAACCTGGGCCACCTGCCCCTGCCCCCGCCCCAGGGACTCTGGTTCCCTACGGGCTGTTCTTTTTTAAAAGCATATTTTTATTGATTTCAGAGAGGAAGAGAGAGATAGAAACATCAACGATGAGAGAGAATCATTGATCGGCCGCCTCCTGCATGCACCACACTGGGGATCAAGCCGGAAACCCCGGGCATGTGCCCTGACAGGGAATCGAACCATGACCTCCTGGTTCATAGGTTCATGCTCAATCACTGAGCCCACTGGCTGGGCCCTGGGGGCTATTTTGTTAAAATAAAGCTAAGAAATCAAAATTATGGGGGGCCATTTAATGACACAAAGTATAAAATCATAGCAAGTAAAAAGATTCTGTTTTGAAAAATAAGTTCAGAAGAAAAAAATTAACCAGGTGGGTAAGAGCAAGGTGGGGTAGCTCAGTTGGGAGAGCATCATCCTGACATGCCAAGGTTGCGGTTTGATCCCTGGTCAAGGCACATACAAGAGTCAACCAATGGCCTGGGCCGGGTGGCTCAGTTGGTTGAGCGTTGACCCAGGAACCAAGAGGTTAATTGGTTTGATTCCTGGTTGGGGCACATGCCCGGGTTGCAGGCTCGATCCCTAGTGTGGGGTGTGCAGGAGGCAGCCGATCAATGATTCTCTCTCATCATTGATGTTTCTATCTCTCTCTTCCTCTCTGAAATTGATAACATATATTTAAAAAAAGAATTACCAATGAATGCATAAATAAGTGGAACAACAAATCGATGTTTCTCTAAAATCAATTTTTTTAAAAAATAGTGAGCACGTGGGGCAGGCTACCAAGGTTCAGGGATGGAAAGTCACTGAACACCTTTGCACTCCCCTCTCCTCCCCTGTAAGAGGCAGAGCAGCAGTCCCACTTCCTACGTCATTCAGGATGGATGAATGGGTACGCGGACAGTGCCCGCCGGCAGCCAGCACTGAACAGTGTTGCTTATTAAAATGATGCAAAGAAAGGCCATGATTATTACTTCTCACAATAACTGCCATCTCCCCAGGCCCTAGGCTCCCTCTGGCTCTGGGCTCCCCGCCCACACCTCAGCCCTGAGTGATGGTGGCAGGGGTGGGGGTGCCCGTTTTGAAGATAAGGAAGCTGAGGCAGGGAGAGGCAGCACCACAGCCCGCAAAAGGCAGGCAAGGGATTTGAGCCTTGGTTGTGAGCACTGACCTGCTCCTGGTAACTGCAGGGCCAAGAGTGAGGCCCCGTCCTCATCTTTGCTGCTCTCTCCCCGGTCCTGCCTCCCCTTCCCCACTCTTAGAGCCAGGAAGGCCGCTTTCCTGGGAACCTAGAAGGAAAGTCACTGGAGTGCAGCTGGGGAGGGGTCTTAGGCTTGCACTGTGCCAAACTGGGGAGGGGGAGTCATTTTTCAAGACCCCCAGGGAGAAGGGCAGCCTGGCAGAAGGTAGGGGATGGGTGGGGGCTGGCTTCTGCCCGGGCTCCATGTCCCCCCGTTCTCCCAGGGTCTCCTGGCCTGGGGACTTGCACTCTAGAGCTGTGTTCTCAGCTGTATCATGAAAGTCACAGAAACCACATCCCCCAGCCCCACCTCCATCAGCTCCGTTGTCTTGGCAAGTGACTCTGCCTCTCTGTGACTCAGTTTCCCCATCGGTGATATAAGATGATAGAATTTCCTCTTCCATAAATGGATTAAACGGGAAAGTACATGTAAAGTGCCTGGCACAGCCCAGCTGGCATGACTCAGCGGTTGAATGTTGACTTATGAACCAGGAGGTCACGGTTCAATTCCGGTCAAGGGCGCATGCCGGGGTTGCAGGCTCTATCCCCACTGGGGAGCGTGCAGGAGGCAGCCAATCAATGATTCTCTCATCGTTGATGTTTCTATCTCTCTCTCCCTCTCCCTTCCTCTCTGAAATCAATAAAAATATATTAAAGTAAATAAATACATAAAGTGCCTGGCACAAAGGAAGCACGTCATTCCTTCAGTAAATAGTTATGGAATCTCTGCTGTGATCCAGGCACCCAGGACTCCACTGTGAACAAGATAAAAAGCTCTGCCCTCGGGAGCCAGTATTCTAGAGGAGGAGATAGACAGTGAGCAGATAAAACCTAGGGATGGCCAAGGGGTCACAAGTTCTATGAAACAGAACGATGTATCAGGGAAAGGCACAGACGGTGGTCTGCTGTGGGCAGGAGGGGGTTATAGTTCTAAACAGGGTGGTTGGGAGGCCACACCAAGGAGGTGACATTTGAGCTGAGACCTGAAGGAGGTGAGGGAGTCAGGTGGAGAGCTGTAGGAGAGAGTTCCAGGTGGAGGGAATAGCATGTGCAAAGGTCCTGGGGGCAGGAACCTGCCTGGCATGTTGGAGGAACAGCGAGGCCTGCATAGCTGGAGCAGAGTGCGCTCCCCCTGCCTGGCAGGCCTTGTTCCATCCCCCCAGGGATGGAGCAAGACCTTCCAGAGGGAATGGTACCAAAAACTCACCTTTTTCTTTGCTCCCAATACAATTTGGTTCACTTAACACGGAGTTTCTCATTTCTGGCACTACCAGCATTTGTGTCTGGACCATTCTCTATGGTGAGGCTAAGGATTAGGAGGGTGTTGAACGGCATCCTTGGCCTTCATACACTCAATGCCAGGAGCATCCCCAGTTTTGACAGCCATTAATATCTCCAGACATCTCTGAATAGTTTCTGGTTGAGAACCATGGACTTAAATCCATTTTGCAGATTGAAAAACTGAGGTCTCAAGAGAGGTAGCTACTTGTGCACAGGCTTAAACCATGGGAATGTCAGATCGGGGCTCCCCACTGAGGGCTGGGGGACCTCCAAATACTCCAGCGGGTGTGCTGTGACCTCACACCCACCACCCCTGTTCTCTTTATGCCAGGTGTTGGACATGGAGGAGCTGACCATCTGGGAACAGCACACGGCTACCGTCTGCAAGGTGAGGCCTCCCTCTCCCTGAGGGGGTGCTGTGGGCATGGCAGTGTGGTCTCCGTGGGAGAACCTTTGTCCTGGAGGGAAGCAAAAGCTCATTCTGCCTCTGCCTCCCCCTCAGGACCCCCGCCGGGGCTTCGGCATTGCGATCTCTGGCGGTCATGACCGGCCTGGTGGACCCGTGTTTGTGTCCGATGTGGTGCCCGGAGGGCCGGCGGAGGGCAGGCTGCAGTGAGTATCAGGGCAGCCCGGGTTTGGGCACATGGAGAGGAGGGGCCTGTGTGGGCCGGAGCGAGGAGGCTGGACAGTGCCTGGTGCCTTCCAGCTCTGTCGACACAGGGCGTGGAGCTGTGGGGCCGGCAGCAGGACAGTCGGCGAGTGGCCATCACTCTCCCCGTGGCACTTCCTGGGCCTCCCATGCTGTTCTGGGTCAGAGTGGCCCCAGGCTGCTCCAGGACCAACCTGTCCCCTGGAAACCTCTTTTAATTTTTCAATTACAGTTGACATTCAATATTTTACTAGTTTCAGGTATACAGCATAATGGTTATACATTTATATAACTTACAAAGGGATCCCCCCCATAAGTCTAGTACACACCAGACACCATGCATAGTTATTACAATATTTTTCTAAATATAAGTTGTTGTTTTTTAAATATTTTTATTGATTTTTAGAGAGAGAGGAAGGTAGAGGGAGAGAGAGAGAGAAACATCGATATGTGAGAAACATCGATCGGCTGCCTCCTGCACGCCCACTACTGGGATGAAGCCGGCAACGCAGGCCTATGCCCAGAACGGCCGGCAACCTTTCGGCGCACGGACAACACCCAGCCAACCGGGCCACGGCGGTCTGGGCCACAGTTATTACTATATTGTTGGCTGTAAGCCCTGTGCTTGCTTTACATCCTCGTGACCTGGAAACCTCTCTTTGGCCGAGAGAAGGGGAACCAGTGTGCTGAGCCCTGAGGGGCAGGAGGCTCCTGGGAGGAATTGGGAAAATGGTTCTGGGGTCCGAGTGGCTGACGGGTGAAATGGCTCAGCCCAGAATCTGCGACCAACTTCACAGAAAGAAAGAATATGAAACACAGGCTGGGAGAGAGAAAAGCAGGAAGAGGGAGCTGAGAGGAACAGTAAGGAGGTGATGGAGGTGCCAGTTGTAATCCCAACTTCCCTTCTATGATGGTATTGTATGATTATAGGGGTTCTATGAGCCCCTATTTTAGGAAACTGAGGCCCAGAAGGATAAATGTCTCTGTGAGCCTGGGGACACCAGTGAGAAAGAAAGAATATGAAACACAGGCTGGGAGAGAGAAAAGCAGGAAGAGGGAGCTGAGAGGAACAGTAAGGAGGTGATGGAGGTGCCAGTTGTAATCCCAACTTCCCTTCTATGATGGTATTGTATGATTATAGGGGTTCTGTGAGCCCCTATTGTACAGATGAGCAAACTGAGGCCCAGATGGATAAATGTCTCTGTGAGCCTGGGGACACCAGTGATGAGACCAGGGGGTGCCTTCCCCGAAGGTGGGCACTGGGGAGCCACCAGGGGCCCTCAGGACAGGCCTGTGGAGCGGGGCTCCTTTGGGAGGCCTCCTCCCTGAGACCCGACTGTTCCCTCAGGACAGGGGACCAGATTGTCATGGTGAACGGGGTGTCCATGGAGAATGTCAACTCCACCTTTGCCATTCACATACTCAAGACCTGCACCAAGCTGGCCAACATTGTGAGTGGGGGCCGGGTGGGAGCGGTAGCCCCCTGGCTCAGGGGCACCTCTGCCCCCCGCTGAGCCCCCCTGGTTCTGGGACACAGGGGCGGTGTGCGTGTGAGCAAATAGGGTCTTGTTCCCATTTCACAGCTTGGATGTTGAGGCCCGGGGTGGCTGGGGTCCCCCAGGGCCAGCCGGTGGATGGGAGAGATCATGAGCTAGTTACCCCTCCACCTCCTCTGATAGACCGTGAAGCGTCCCCGGAAAATCCAGCTGCCCAGCACCAAGGCCAGCCCCTGTGGCCCAGGACACCAGGATTCAGATGAAGACGGGCCCTGGCGGCTTGAGGACACTAACCATGGCCGGGGCTACGAGGGTGACACATCCAGTGGCTCTGGCCGCTCCTTGGGAGAGCGCTCCCACCGGCCCAGGGCAGGCCGCCGGAGCCGGGCCGGCAACCATGGGAGCAGGAGCCCGGGTGGGGGCTCCGAGGTCAGAGGGCTGGCCCTGATGTCCGGCTTCAAGAGGCTGCCACGGCAGGACGTGCAGATGAGGCCACTGAAGTCAGTGCTGGTGCGGAGGAGGGAGAGTGAAGGTGAGCCGGCAGAGGGAGTGCTCATGGCAGTGGGGCTTGGGGTCCCCTTACTGTGTGTGGTCAGCAAGAGAACGGCCCCAAAGACATCTCCATCCTGGTCCCAGGGCCTGTGGACATGTCAGCTCGCGTGGTAAAGGGACTTGGCAGATGGTTAAGCTCAGGCCTCGGAGACGGGGATGGCCCTGGATTCTCCAGGGAGCCCGGGGTCATCACAAAGGTCCTCGTAAGAGGGAGGCAGGGGGTGGGCGTCAGAGATGGAAGAGGCGGCGCTGCTGGCTGTGAAGACGGAGGAGGGGCCACGGAGGCAGAAATGCGGTGCCTCTGGGAGCTGGAAAAGGCTGGAGACGACTCTCTGGAGCCTCGTGCAGTGACATCAGAGTCCCTGCAGTGGCACTGTGTGTCCTTTAGGTCGTCAGTATCAGAGCAGCCCCAGAATGACTGGGAGGGAGCCAAGCCGGACCCTTCCTGTGGGACAGCAGCCCTGAGAGCGGGAAGGCCAAGGGCAGGCAAGAAGGCTGAGCTCTGACAGGACCCGCAGCCCAGACCCCAGGCCCTGCCTCAGCTTCCCTCCTCTCCCCACAGAGTTTGGGGTCAAACTGGGAAGTCAGATCTTCATCAAGCACATCACGGATTCGGGCCTGGCTGCCCAGAACCGGGGGCTGCAGGAAGGAGACCTTGTCCTACAGGTGAGCCCAGGTGGCGGCTTCTTCTTCTTCTTTAAAAAAATATATTTTTATTGATTTCAGAGAGGAAGGGAGAGGGAGAGAGAGAGAAACATCAATGATGAGAGAGAATCATTGATCAGCTGCCTCCTGCACGCCCCACACTGGGGATCGAGCCCGAAACCCAGTCATGTGCCCTTGACCGGGATTGAACCCAGGACCCTTCAGTCCGCAGGCTGATGCCCTATCCACTGAGCCCAACCAGCTGGGGCTGAGCCCAGGCTTCTTGTTGGGGGCTTGGGATAGGGAGACCAAGGCCAGAGGTGCTCAGTGGCACTGAGTCACAGGTCAAGTTCAGCAGAGCTGACCCAGAACCATTTGACTTCTGTATTGTTGCCAGTTTCCCAAAAGTTGGAGATGGCTTTCCCCTCTTCTCCCCTCCACCCCGTCTGCTACTAATCCACTGCCAAATGTTAGTTTCTAGTACCCCCTTTGGGTTGGCTGTTTCTAGTATCAGAATCACTGGTCAGCTGGCTACAGCTCTGATTTCCAGACCTGCCTTAGGTGGTTGGTGCTAATGGGAGCCCAGGCTTAGAGGAGCAGCTCTGCCTTAAGACTCTGCTCCTGAACATCTGATGATGCCTAGTGTTTGACTTCCAAGCCAATTCCAGTTGATTGCTTCTAGAATCTCCTCAGAGTAATCTACTTCTAGTGATGACCCTGAGGCATTGTCTGTTTCTAGTGGTTTGGGGCCAACACTAGAAACAGCTTTGTGGGGGACTAGAACTCACAATCCCCAGGGTCACTGAAAGCAGACACTCCCGAGGGAGAAAGTTAGAAAAGGATTCTCAGTGTGAGTGGAAATGATGTCAGTCCTCACTGGAAACTGAGTTTCTAATCTGCCTCTAGATGTTTGTTTCCAGTACCTCCTCGAGTACCTTACAGTATCATTTGGTATCACCTCCCTCTCTTCTAATTAGACTCATTTCTAATACGTGTTCATAGTGTCTCATAAGAAAGTTCCCCTTGTAGGGAGAGGAGAGAGCCAACCTGTTTCCAATTTCCTCTAGCTCCTTAGAAAGTTGTCTGTTTCTAGAATCTTGTGGAAGTTAGTTCTTGGTATAGACACCCCCCGCAGCAGGAATCCAGCTGTGTCATTTTCTCTTGAGATGTCTGTTTTCAGTAACCCCGCTGACAGCGCGTCTCTAGTCTTCCCACCAAGATATCTGTTTCCGGTATTCCCCTATCTCTCATTAACTCACATTCTCTCTTCCTTCCCGGTCCCTTTTAGATCAACGGGGTGTCCAGCGAGAATCTGTCGCTGAGTGACACACGGCAACTGATCGAGAAATCGGAAGGGAAGCTGACTCTGCTGGTGCTCAGGGACCGAGAGCAGTTTTTGGTGAACATCCCGCCAGCTGTCAGTGACAGTGACAGCTCCCTCCTGGAGGGTGAGGGGCCAGGAGGCAGGCCCCGGGGGATGGGACTGAATGAAGGGCAGAGCCAAGGCGTCAGTGAGCCTGCCCCGCGAGCCTTAGAGAGGGACAGGAGCTTGCTGAAGACCGCACAGCAAGTCAGGACTGGAGTTACCTGGCTGAGCCTGACTCCGGTCTAGGTCCCTTTGCTTAGAGGGGCCTTGATGTTCCCCTCTATAAAATGGGTCCACTCTGGAAGTGGACTGTGGCTGATGGGATGCCCTCTCTCCCACAGACATCTCAGACCTCTGCTCGGAACTGTCTCAGGCGCCACCATCCTATGTCCCACCACCCCCCCAGCACAGGCAGCGGAGTCCTGACACCGACCGGACCAACTCCCCCGTGTACGTACCCCCATTGGCCAGAATGGTTGAACAGGAGGGGAACATGGGCATCTCTTTTCCAACTGGGGGTAGCCTTGAGGGTGTAGTCCTGTAGCCTGCCTGGAGGAGGCCTCCCTGTTCACATATAGCCTTTCTTGCCCACAGTAGTGGCTTTTGCTTCTCGGGTACTAGGAGAACCAGATATGGATCGACTTAAAGCAGAAGTAACCAGATTTCGTAATGCATCCTAGAAGACTTCAAAAGGCACAAGCCCTTTGACCCAGCAAGGCCCTTTTAGGGATTTCTCTTGGGGGCAAAATAGCCATGGATATACTAGTATTCTGGGACTGGAGGATGCTGGTTTATTATGATGATGTTTATAAAAGGAACAATTGGAATGAATTTGTATTAGTCTCCTGTGGCTGCTGTAACAAAGTGCCCCGAAAAGGGTAGCCGAGACCCCTTTGGCGGTCGAACGACCCTTTCACAGGGGTCGCCTAAGACCATCCTGCATATCAGATATTTACATTACGATTCATAACAGTAGCCACATTACAGTTATGAAGTAGCAACAAAATAATTTTATGGTTGAGTCACAACACGAGGAACTGTATTTAAAGGGCCAGAAGGTTGAGAACCACTGGTCTAAGGGTCCCAGAGGAGACGCTGTTCCAGGCCTCTCCCAGCTTCTGATGGCCTCTGGCTTTCCTTGGCTCCCACGCAGCCGTCTCCTCCCTGAGTGTCTTCATGTTGTCTTTCCTCCATGTGTGTCTGAATCTGTGTCCACATTTTCCTGTTTCATAAGGACACCAGTCATATAGGGCTAGGGGCCCACCCTGCTCCACTGTGACCTCTTCTTTCCTGATGATATCTACGACAATCTCATTTCCAAATACCATCATGTTCTGGGATGTTGAGGGTTAGGACTTCAACACATGGATTTTGAGGGGACACAATTCCATGGCTAAAATACATACACGCTCAATACTTTGAGTGTATTTAGATATTAGACACCTCACTTACGCTTTCAGCACCCTGAGAAGTGGGGGGTTGTATCTGTTATCTATGGCTGTATAAATTAACCCCAAATCTAGCCCCTTGAAACAATAGTAAGTATTTATTATCTCCCATCATTTCCGAGAGTCAGGAATTGGGGGCGGCTGAGCTGAGTGGCTCTACTTTGTAATCTCATGAGGTCACAGTCGAGCTGTGTCTAGGGCTCCAGGCTTTCCGGGTGGATGGTCCACTTCCAGGCTCACTCCCAGGGCTGTTGGCAGGAGGACTCAGAGCCTCACCAGGCGGGCCTGTCCTTATGGCTCCCCAAAGCGAATGACCGAAGAGAGCGTAGGCGAACCTAATCTCAGATGTGTCACACCTTCACTCCCCTGTATTCTGCTGGTCACACAGGCCAACCGTGGTTCAGTGCAGAAGGGAGACGACAGCAGGCCCCAACTACCAGGAGGTGAGGGTTTCTGGGACCATCTCAGAGGCCAGAGGAGGCCCCAACCCAAAGCCCCAACGCTTACTCCATTGTTGCCTCCTTAGGGTGCTAATTAACGACAAAAGGAGACAATGCCTGTGTGTACTTAGCCCATAGCAATGCTCATGGTGTATCTTTTAAAAAAATATATTGTTTTATTGATTTCAGAGAGGAAGGGAGAGAGAGAGAGAGAGAGAGAGAGAGAGAGAGAGAGAGAGAGAAAGAGAATGAGAATCATTGAGAATCATTGATCGGCTGCCTCCTGCACACCCCCTACTGGGGATCGAGCCCACAACCCAGGCATGTGCCCTTGACCAGAATCGAACCTGGGACTTTTCAGTTCACAGGCTGACACTCTATCCACTGAGCCACATTGGCTAGGGCTCACTGTGTGTCTTTTCCACTCTTTACTATGATCATAATACATCCTTGCTTGGGAGTACTAGACAGCCATGAAAAAGGATGTCTGGGAGATTATATTTAAAAGGCCCAGCAAAATACACTTGGCGTCGTGTGGGGTGAATGAACCACATGGTAGCATGACTCAGGGTTTGGGGCGACTTTTGTGTGGTCTTACTGGGCATTCCGCCTGCACACAGACACATGGTTCCGAGGAGCTTGGCAGGTGTCTCTGATGCAGACGCCTTACTCTACGAATCTGTCCAGGACGTGTGGGGCGGGGAGTCTGGTATTTTCCAAGGGCAGCACCGGGGCTTCGCAGGATGGATGCCGTAAATGCTAGTACATGGCCTGATCTCGATGTTCTTTCAAAGGTATATCCTTCCCCACACGCTTACCTGAAAGCATCTGAAAGGTGTGGCAGTGGCTGGTCCCTGCTGACAGGGGGCTGGGTTTGCAGGGGACTTCCTTTTCCTGCTGTGGTTTAACAGGAGACCAGAGACTGGAGACCGACACACAGACAATTGCTTCTCACAGTTCTGGAGCCTGGGAGTCCGTGGTCGGGTGCAGCAGGGTCAGATTCTAGGTGGGCCTCTTCCTGGCCAGCAGACGGCCGCCTTTTCGCTGTGTCCTCACCTGGGGGAGAGGGTGCTCCCTGGTGTCTCTTATAAGGACACGAATGCCATCTGGGGCCCCACCCTCATCACCTCAGCTAAACGTCGTCACCTCCCAATGTCCTGCCTCCTCACAATCCCAGTAGATGTTAGGGCTTCGACCTCTTGTGAATTTGCAGGGGACACACAAATTTAGTCCACAGCAACCTCTGGAACTTTCTGCTAATATTAAAGTAATAACAGGACGAGTTGTCCCAGGCTCCTTTCACCTTGACCAGCCCTCCCTGGAGGCTTCACTCCACTCAGCCGTCCCCAGGGCTCAGGGAAGGAAACCGAGGCTCAGAGAGGGCCAGCCGTCGGTCTGCTATCACACGGCCACAGAAGGGCAGAACCAAGATCTGAATCTGAGTTCGGATAAACAGCAGTTCTAAAAGCCATCCCTTGACATTCACGCCCACCTGTCCCCCACCAGGGAGAGCTCCCAGCTTCGGCGGAGAAGTTCTGTGGATTCCAGAACCACCTTGGAACCAGGTACACGGAAGGTGGGTGGGTGGTGACTCTGAGCACCCCTCCTCTGACTGTGTTAATCCCAAGTGGTGATGCTGAGCCAGGCAGAGTGGGAGAGCTGGCACGGGCCTGCAGGGTCAGAGACAGTTCCCTGGGAAGGACAGAGGGCTGGGTGACGGCCCACCACGGGGTAGGGGCCCCCATGGCAGAGGTCTGGTGGCTGGACCGGCCAGTGTGCTTGGGAAACAGGCCAGCTGCTCCCTTTCAGACACCCCCAGGCAAAGCAGCTATGACATCTACAGGGTGCCCAGCCGCCAGAGCATGGAGGACCGCGGGTACGTGCACTCGGGAAAAGCCCACCGACGGGAAACTCCCACATCCGGGTCCCGTCCCAGGCTCAGTGTGTTGGTGGGACCATCGCGGGTCCTGCGCAGCTACTTGGGGGACTGAGGCCCAGAGGGAGCGGGGATCTCCCAGGGATGCCCAGGGGACCGCCTCTCTGCCCACTCTGGACGGACCTGCTCTGCCACCCCTGCAGGTACAGCCCCGACTCGCGGGTGGTCCGCTTCTACAAGGGCACCAGCATCGGGATGAAGCTGGCTGGAGGCAACGATGTGGGCATCTTCGTGTCGGGGGTGCAGGAGGGCAGCCCGGCTGAGGAGCAGGGCATCCAGGAAGGAGATCAGATTCTGCAGGTGCTGGCGGTGGGCGTGTTGGCACGCTGGGCGACGCTCCCGTGTCGGTTACAGCCTGTGTCCTCCCCCGGGTTGGCTGAGAGCAGGTGTGGCCCACCGTCCGGGTCCGCATATTGTTGTCCTTGCCATGACCCTGGTGTCTGGGACCTGGTACTGTCTGTGTCTATACATCTGTGCCCCGGTCACGAGCCTGTGACTGTGGCTCTTTGGAGGGTCACAGCATTTCCACCCTGTCACCATCGCCGCGATGGCCCACCACGCCTCGGTTACGTGTGTGCCGCTTCCCGTTCCTGTGCCCCGGGTTCCGGTCAAGTCTTCCGTGTGCCTGATGCCCGTGCTGCCACCGGCGATGCCTCCCTGCCCCCGTCAGCTGTCCCCCATCGCCGGGGCCCCTGGAGTTGGGGGTGAGCTGTGCCCAGAGCTACATCCCCTCTCCCTCCCCCCTCCCCGGGCAGGTGAATGACGTGCCCTTCCGGAACCTGACTCGGGAGGAGGCTGTGCAGGTCCTGCTGGGGCTGCCACTGGGCGAGGAGGTGGAGCTGGTGACGCAGCGGAAGCAGGACAGTGAGTGGGGCCGGGAGCCGCGCCTGGCCCAGCGGGAGGCCCAGTCCCCGGGGAGGGAAAGGTCCGGCAGCAAGCCCGCCCGCTCAGAGCCTCTCCCTGTCCGCAGTCTTCCGGAAGATGGTGCAGTCCCGTGTGGGCGACTCCTTCTACATCCGCACACACTTTGAGCTGGAGCCCAGCCCACCCTACGGCCTGGGCTTTACCCGCGGCGACGTCTTCCACGTGCTGGACACGCTGTATCCGGGCCCGGGGCAGGGCCACACCCGCGGGGGCCAGTGGCTGGCGGTGCGCATGGGTCGTGACCTCCGGGAGCAGGAGCGCGGCATCATTCCCAACCAGAAGAGGTGGGGACCACTGCCACCCTCCGCCAGGCCGCCCCCCAGCCTCCATCTCCCCACTGTCACCTCTTAGCGATGTTGGTGGTCCAACCTGAGGCAATGTGCAGATGGCTCAGGGCGTGCAGTCGCGCTTGTACAGGTTCCCCAGGGCTGCTGTAAAGCATCAGTACAAATGCAGTGGCTTCAATCCACACAGATGCTGGAGGTTGGAAATGCAAAATGAACGCTTTAGCCCTGGCTGGTTTGGCTCAGTGGATAGAGAGTCGGCCTGTGGACCAAAGGGTCCCGGGTTCGATTCCGGTCAAGGGCATGTACCTCGGTTGCAGGTTCCTCCCCCGCCCAGGCCCTGGTCAAGGCTGGTGCAGGAGGCAATCAATCGATGTGTTTCTCTCACATTGATGTCTTTCCCTCTCTTTTCCACTCTCCCTAAAAATCAATGGAAGTGGAAAAATATCTTCGGGTGAGGATTAACAAAAAACACACAAAACCCCCCAAAGTGAACGCTTTAGGGCTGCAGTCCAGGTGTGGGCTGGTCCTGGAGGCTCCAGAGGAGCGTCGTTTCCGGCCTCTTCAAGCTTCTAGAGGCGCCACACCCCAGGCTCTCGGCTCTTCCTCCATCGTCACAGCCAGCAGCGCAGCCTCTTCCATCTCTGACTCTCACCCTCCTGCCTCTTCTTTTTATTTTTTTGTTAATCTTCACCTGAGGATATATTTTTAAAAATATATTTTATTGATTTTTTACAGAGAGGAAGGGAGAGAGATAGAGAGTTAGAAACATCGATGAGAGAGAAACATTGATCAG